CGAGAAAACATTTATACGTTGCCTAACCTCCTCACTACATCAAGAATTCTCTCATTCAGAGAGGCTTCTTAGGAACTTCCTTTGATAGAATCCGTACGGCATCTTTTGAGAAAACGTAGCTGAGGCCGCTCCATACGGTCGTACCTCCGACTACCCATCTGTAAACGAGTTGGTAACCATTTTATATCGGTTTATGAGCCCCTTACTGTAAGGTAGTCAAGAAAGAATGGACCTCAAAGGGTAAAAGGGGGCTGATCGTTGTGCTCCCCATGAGGATGAGTTGAAGAAATGTGTTGTATTTGCTAATCTGGGTAGGTCTGACCTCAGCTGAGGGTATCGAAAAGTCCCAATAGCGCGTAAATGTTTTCTGTGATGTCATTATAAGGATATGATGACTACTAAAGATGCTCTAAGAGACCCACTGGAGGCGGCAAAGAGATCCACCGGTAATAGAACGCGGAGATGCTCAGGAGTACGTCCCGTCCAAGTATAATTATCGCAAGCGGCACTGGAGAGTTAAGAGATCAGATACTTATGAGTCTTTACAAGCAGAATGAGGAACCACTTACAAGGCAACATGTTTTGGTACGCTAATGAGATGACCAAGGTTGTCATGAGGGTTTTATCCGCCGCAGGGTCCAATATTGACCCTAACACAGTTCCACTCTTATATTTTCTGGCAATGTACCCATCCAACTGAATAAGCTGTTAGTGGTAGGTACCGTTTATTTCCTGGTATTCCACTCACCAAATCAGAGAAACCGGCATATGCTAGAAGACCGGTGGCGAGAGGAAAATTTCCTTGAACTATAGCCCAGCAAAGAACTGGACATGAGAGAATTCTTGATGTAGTGAGGAGGTTAGGCAACGTATAAATGTTTTCTCGTCGCGTGATATTTGAAGGGGGCTTGTTATCACTGTAACAACGCCACGAATCCACCCCAATTATTGCAATAGGTATGTTTGAGCGTAAGAATGCTCTTCTTACGACGCGAGATGCACGGCTGCTTGCAAAGAAAGGTCGTCCGGCTTTGATGCAAATTCTAGACGCATACATTTCAAATAGCCAATGCCGTGTAAGCTATTTACGATAATTTTGGCGGGCTTTGTTGTGAATGTACCGTAGAATGTCGAATACGTAGGAGATGTGTTCATGGACTTGAGCGCTTAGCCCATCTTGGCCATTGCAGTGCCCTTCAGAATTTTTTCTTTTAGAGGATTCGACGCCGAGTCGGTGGAAAAGTGGAGGGCCGCTCGTCTGAATCAGCACTTATTTAAACCCGTTATGCATGATGTAACACATCTCACATTGCACTTTGAACCCTCCCATCGTCCGCCCGCCACCATATTCCTCCCACTGCTTTGCGTTTGATGTCCCTCATAACTAGGACTCGAACATGCGCTCTATCCAAACCACAAACTAATTTGGTGAACGTGAGACGTTGGTTATCTACGGTCGAGCTCGACGCTCAAAAAGCAGGCAAGTCTTCTCCCTTCTCGCGCGAGTAATGACCAACTACTAATTGCAAACGCAGACCGAAAGCGCGTCATAGTTGTGAATACCATTGCTCAACATCCAGCATCTATTCTTTTTGACCATAATGATTCTCTGTGTAGTTAGGGGCAGGTTGGGCATCGACCTCCTTCCTGCAACGCTTGTCCACCAAACACTACCAGCCACTCGTGATCTCGCCTCGCCCTTACTTTGTGTTTACTCCTCTGCTCGCTTCTACTGCTGCTGGGACACTCGAGCCTCGGACAGCATTGGAAGGAGTCCGCTCTATCAAGGGCACCGAATCTTGGGAAGCCGCCGTCACAAAAATAGGTGAGTAACGGAACCACCATCTTATATACTCAATAGCTGATCGTTTTACAGATCTTGATAACAAAGAGGTTCACTGTATCAGTCCGTTGCAAAACTGGGACTCTTCCAAATCGTTTAAAGTCAAATATGACAAGGTGTCCCTACTTGGCTAACTGGTATATATGATTCTAAGTACTTTACAGCTTGTCATTGCAGTAGGAGCACACACCCAAACCTTTAATATTCCCGGTGTACGAGAACATGCACACTTCTTAAAGGAAACCAAGGACGCCATCAAGATCCGAAGACGGATCCTAGCGTGTATGCACCTTGACACATTATTGATCATATTACTTAACTCTCCGTAGGTTTTGAGGAAGCAAGCCTCCCTTCAACCTCGGAAACGCGTAAGAAACAGTTGCTTCATTTCTGCATAGTCGGTGGTGGACGTGAGTCCTCTAACTCAAAGATAGGAATAACTCAATCCTAATCATCGATACAGCAACCGGAGTTGAATTCTCTGCCGAATTACACGATTTGATCCATGATGATCTAAGCCGCGCATTCCCGACATTAGCACCTTTGGTCAAAATATCCCTTTATGACGTCGCTCCTCGTATTCTCAACATGTTTGATTCTGCGCTAGCAGATTATGCGATGAAACATTTCGCTCGCCAAGGGATCGAGGTACATACACAACGAACAGTGACAAAAGTTGAGGAGGGGTTATTACACTTGAAGGAAGAAGGCCCGGTGGGATTTGGAATGCTTGTTTGGAGTACTGGCCTGGAAATGACGCCGCTGATCAAAGGTCTCCAGGGCGTCAAGAAGGATCCAAAAGCAGGCAGGATCGTGACTGATGGCCATTTAAGGGTATTACGTCCCGAATCAGGAAAGATGGAAACGGGAGTTATCCAGGATGTTTATGCAATGGGAGACTGCTCTGTCATTGAGAAGGACGAATTACCCGCTACAGCACAGGTGGCGTCCCAACAAGGCTTGTGGCTCCGAAAGCACTTCAACCTTCTTGGGAAGAAAGGCATACTAGATCAACCTCCAAAGCCTCTGATAAAGGCCCAATCTTCCCGAGAGGACAAGGTATCCGAGGCCACCCTAGAAGTGGGAACTCAAAAGGACATTGAAGAGAGCATTGATCGTGGCTTCCGATATCATAATATCCTCACTTTGGCATATCTCGGTTCTTGGAACGCAATAGCCCAGCAGAGTAAGGGGCATGGGATCCGAGGGTTCGTATTTGCATTTTTCGGCTGTATTCACAGGACTGATAGGAATCTAGGAGATTCGCCTGGTTCTTATGGAGAGGTGCTTACATGACTAAGACAATCTCATGGAGAAATAAATTAAGGGTCCCCATCTTATGGTACGTGTTGTTCCTCATTTCGACAAAGTGGTCTTACATATTACTTCAGGGCCATTAACTTCATATTTGGCCGCGATATTACTCACGTATAATGATTTACATCCCAATTAATTATCTCAAGTCGCAGAGTAGCATCATCGTTATTTAAATTCAATTGACATTGCCATTATATTTCCCCTCTCTCTACTGCAATTTTGTTCCTGATCATCACTTTAAGCGGCGATAATCGATGTACAAAGGTGATACATTTGCAGACGAGCGTGAGGGAGTTGATACATGCTTGGTAGAGTAACAAAATGGCACATTCCGTCAGACTGCAGACGGTTCAAAACATTATGAAGCAGAAATAAGACAAATATGCATTTAGTTGGACCGCGACATCATCTTCGTGCCCAGCCACTGTCTGATGACCCATATTCTCCTCGTCTGTCCCGAGGATTACGACCACGGTCCCTTCGTTCGTCACGGTCTCGCGGTCTGTTGGGTCGGCCTCGATACGGTGGTGAAGATCTCCTCTCCCTGTCTCGATCTCGTGGGTACCGATCATCCCAATCCCTCGGTCGTCTGAAATAGAAAACCTTGTAAGTAACACAAGCAAACAGATAGAAGAACGAAGATCAAACTTACGAGCTTTGCGAAGGGCTTCGTGGTGGTGGCCCATGATTACTATGCGAATCCATATAGGGGTACATGGAGTCTGGAGGTTGGGGAGGGTTCCAACTTGATGCGGGAGGTAATGAGGAACTGGCTGAAGGATTCGAGTTGGCCATAGAAAGACCCTTGAGGATAAGATTGATTTGATCTGGTGTCATATTCTTGATTGAATCGGCGAGTGCTGAGAGATTGGGTGCGGAAGGTGGCGGAATAGCGGTAGCAACAGGTGGTGGCATCATCATTTGGTTATGGTACGAATATGGCATGCCTTGGACTTGAGACGGGATCTGTGGTATTCCGGGCATGACAGGTACGGGTGGGGAGGGATTTACACCATACGGTAAAGGAGCATTTGCCGCTCCTAATGATGATACAAATGACGGTAACGTATCATTTTGAACTGGAGACTGAGACGGAAGCGAAGTAACGGGTACAGGGCTGTTCCCAGTGTCGACTACAGATCTAGCAGCGGGAACAACAGGGGCAGTAGTTGGAGGCACAACGACTTTCCCTTTATTCAAGACGAATACTCCTAAAAGCATGTTCTCATCTCGTTTTTTGGGTATTTGAACTTGATCAAGGAGATCAATGAATTCGGGAAGGGGTTGTGATGCTTGTAATGGAATGAGATACAAATCCTTTCCAGGTGCAGAAGAGGACGGGGGAGTACCCCATGGAAAC